TGCGGGGCAGCGACACCTACTGGGAACCTTGGGAACTGCGTCTCCTGACACTGCACTGCCCTCCTCTGGTTTGGGAACTAGAGAGGGGCCGATTTCCATACCTCCGGTGCACGTGCCATCTGCCGCAGGCGGAGTTGTTGGCCGCTAGCGACCTGTGCCAGGCTGGCAGGATAAGTGGCTTAGCCATGAGTCCCGCCTGAAGAAGGATGGGAGGGGCGCATCCCGTGGCCGGGCCACCCCGCAATTATGACTATTCCTTTGGGTGACTTGGGCAATATCATGCTGGGTGGCTTCCGTTTCTGTTTGTAAACATGAGTGCCAACTTCTCATCTCTCCCTTTAAGAGTCTAAATAACTAATTTGTACTTAAATCTCATAAAGCACAAAAGGATAAAAAAAACTAAAAGGTGATTAGGCATATTCCCCAGTTCCCAAAGGACTTAAAAGGTCCCTCACACTCAATTAAATGCCAGTCCCACTAGGTTCTCGTCATCTGCTTTACTGTTAATGATTTTCTTTATTAACTTCACAATTGTGGTTACATAGCAAAGGCAAGTAATATTTAAGCAAAGGAAGTACATGAGCAACTATTTTGGGCATTATTAAAGTATAAAAAGCTCAAGAACTGAGCAATGCTTAAAAATTCAACGCAGCACGAAGTCCCTCCTATACTGTGATACCTTCTTTCTTTTATCTTGGAGACCCAGCTCATTCATTCATTTTTATTTAATTATTTTTATATTTACATTTTTTACCAAGGTGTAACCTACCTACAGTTTAAAAATGTGCAGATCACAAGTATAAGAGTAGAAATGCATATGTTCAGCGCTAGTAAATTTTGCCAAATAATTTTCCAAAATGGTTGTATCAATTTATACTCCTCCTAACAATGTTTTGAAATTTCCAGTTTTTACATATTCATCAACCTTTGATGTTATCAATCCTTTTCATTTTGGTCTTTCTGATAGGAGTCTCAAGAAATATTTATTTTAAAAAACTCAAAAAAAGAAAAACACACACATAAAAACAAAAAGAAACCCCAAAATAAAATACAAAAAAAATATTTTTGAGTACTAATTATTTGCCAGGCCCTGACTTGGGAGAGGAGGATGACTAACAGATACATAGGTGATATATGAGAATTGGTAGAGGTATGTACAAGGCATTATGGGAGTTTGGAAACATCACTAACAGAGCCTGGGAGTTTGGGGAGGAGGAACAGGAGTACTCAATAAGGATTTGTTATAAAACTGGCCTTAAAGGGCAAAGGGAACAGCAAGAAAAGAGAAAGAGAGAAGGAAAAGAGAAGCAAAGGAAGAAGAGGGAAAAGGAAAAAAAAGGAAATCTTATACACATTTGTTCAAATATTTACAAGTTCAGTAATTCAGTCTTTCATTCCTGACTCCTCTAAGCAGAATTCTTCATGGCACCCCTCTTTATGTCACCAGCAAATCTGGTATATATTTCAGTTATCACACTATTCACATTGCATGGGCCTCATTTATTTACATATATGTGTCTCCTATTAGCCTGAGAGAAACTTAAGGACATTTCTCATTTATTTTTATATTTTCAGAGCATGAATGTCCATTAAATGAAATAATCCAAATGAACTGGTATACTAACTTGATTGAATACCTAGACTGTCTCAGGCACAGATCTTTTAGACTGTGCACTTTGTAAGAGCAAATATCACATGCTATTTTCATGATTATATCCCCAATGACTAGCACAGTGCATAGCACAGAGTAGACACTCAATACATGAATGTATTATATATGAATTATGTATATAAATATATTGGGAATTAGAACTATGCATAAAAGAGAAGATTCAGTACGTGTGATTAATCTAGTGAGGAAAACAAACATGCAAATATAATAGAACTTGAAACAATAAAATACAGCTTGTATGATAAAAGTTGTACGTGTTCAAAACGTTGCACTTTTTTTCAGTCATTGCAAAAACAGATCCACTCAGGCTTGTTTAAGCAATAAATTAATTTATCACAGCCTATTAGGTGTCTCATAATATCCCAAGAACCAGAGAGCGCCAACAAGTCCAGCCATCCCAGAGAGCTGATCTAGAAAAAAACACTATCACCACCTCTCAGCACTGACACTACACACCAGCAGCTACTGCCACCCCAGGAATCAAAGGCCCATTTCAACCACTCTTGACAAATCAGCTCCCCACCTCACCCCCTCAACATGCATATTGCTCACTTCTGGAAGAAAAGTTCCATGCAGGTACTGATTGGGGGAGTCTGGGTCATTTAACAGCTTCCTAGCTGCAAGGGAGATTTAAATTTTCTGGGTTCTGCCTCAGAGAGATAGAATTCAGGTGGCTAAAAGTTTGCCAAACATAGCACAGGTGTAGGCAGCCAAAGGCATGAAAGATGGTCGCTGCCAAAGGAAAGGGCAAAAGGCTATGGGAGCACAGACGTGATCAACTCTGCATCGCTCAGGGATGTCATCAGCGGGGAGGTGACAGGCTCATGAGCTGTGCTGATGAATAAGAGTTTATCAGAGGGAGATGAGAGCGCTGGCAATCCAGGAAGAGTAAACAACATGGGCCAACCTCAGTGAGGTTGGAGAAAAGGGGGGTGTGGTGGGGCGGAGTGGCAGGAGATGAGGTTGGGAAAATCAGGTGGGGCCAGATTGCTAAGCACTTGGTAAACCATGCTTTTAAGGAACTGAGATTTAGCTTTGTAGGCAATAGGGGAGGGGCTCAGCTTACATTTTTAAGTATAGGAGTGACATAAGCAAACTTGAGTTTGATAAAGTGTGCCCTGAATGGAATGGAGTCAGGAAAAACTAGTAAGGTGAAACTATTTGAGTAAAGCCAGGAAAGAGGTTGCTACAAAAAGTTAGGTGAGCCCTGGCTGGGTAGTTCACTGAGTTAGAGCGTCATCCCCATCCACCAAGGTTTGATCCTGGGCCAGGGCACATACGGAAATCAACCAGTGAATGCATAAATAGGTGGAACAAGAAATCAATGTTTCTCTCACTAAAAATCAATAATTTAAAAAAATGTTTAAAAAAAAGTCAGGTGAGAGGTGATGGGAACCCACACCAAGGCAGTAGGGGGGTAGGGGGACAATCGGGGATGGAAAGGAGTGTATGCATACAAAATAGATGTAAGAGATGGGATCACCCAGAATTATAGTAAGTGAAAGAGAAGCAATCTAGGAAGCTATGAGGTTAGGTGTCCAGCTTGGGTAAGTGGATGGAGGTGAAACCATTAATGGAAAACAGGAGAAAGATCAGGGTCTCTAGGCATGAAAATAAATATGGTTTTGAACAGATTGACTCTGAAGTGCCTGGAGGCTACATAGGCAGAAATGTTTAATTCATCGAAAAATATGGCTCTGGAGGTCACAGGTCAGAGCTACATTGTGTAGTTTCGGACATCATTACTGGATGAGATCACCCAGGGAAACTGTAGAATAAGGATAAAAGCGGAGCAAGGACAAAACCCTGAGTAACACCAACGTTTATGTATTTTGCTGGTGAGGGAGAGCCTGCAAACAACTGAGTCCAGCCAGCCGCTGAAGAGAACATCTGGGGTAGAGTGTAGCCCTGGACAAGGTCATGTGATTTCTGTCTTTGAGATTGTAATAGATAGATGGAGGCTCGGCCCTCTATTGTGTCATGCCCTTTGCCCTCCTTTCCCTCTGTCCAGCAATTTGAGGTCCATTTCAAATCTTCACTCATCCTCCAAGAGGCCAATTTCCTCTGACCTATGCTGATTTTTTTCTCTCCCTAGCTTTCCGGTACACTTTCTATCCGAATTTAAGTTGACACTGTGGTAGATTGTTAAAATGCCCACAATTCTCCACTCTTCCCATAAAGAAGCAGAGTCCATTATCTCACTGCATAGTCTGAAGCCAAATATATTGCTTTGAGCTAATTACACATATCTTTGTGCCTAGATGTTTCCTTATAATCACAAACTTCAGTTGTTCTCCTATATATATATTCAATGAAACCTCAGTGGCACCTGATGATGCCATTACCTATATAATACAGAGGTAATATGCTAATTGGTCCTAACGGTGTCACAACCACAACCAGGCTGCACGTGCAAGGGAGTTGGTGGGTGGAACGGGGCGGGACTTGTGCCACTGGAACATGAGGATGTAGCAGGGGGCGGCCCCCCTGGCAGATGCATGTGCTGCCCAGCCCAGAGTGGGGTGTCAGGACAGGAGCGGGGCCTCGGTGGAGAGCTCTCAGCACTCCTGCACTGGGGTCTGAAGGTGTGGAGAGGAAGGGAGAGCACATAGACAGTTAGGGGGTTTAGGCCAGGAGGGAGAGCAGATAGGCAGTTAGGGGGATCAGACAAGGAGGGGAGAGCAGTTAGGGGCATCAGGCCAGTAGGAGAACTGTTAGGGGCATCAGGCAGGCAGGTGAGCGCTTAGGAGGCAGTGGTTCTGTATTGTGAGAGGGATCCCAGATTGGAGAGGGTGCAGGCCAGGCTGAGGGACTGTCCTCCCTCCACCCCCCACTCATGCACAAATTTCATGCACCAGGCCACTAGTTACAACATAATTGTCATTAACCAACTTTTAGTCCTAGGAGACACCTGCTAAAAATTCCTCACTTTAACCCTAACCAGTTTGGCTCAGTGGATAGAGCGTTGCCTATGGACTGAAGGTTCAAATCCAGTCAAGGGCATGTACCCTGGTTGCAGGCACATCCTTATAGGGGGTGTGCAGAAGGCAGCTGATCGATGTTTCTACCTCTCTATCCCTCTCCCTTCCTCTCTGTAAAAAATCAATAAAATATATATTTTAAAAATTCTCCACTTTATTGGTGCATTATTTTTATTTATTTATTTTTAATCCTCACCCAAGGATATTTTTCATTGATTTT